TTTTTCTGATGACCAAATACTGAGTTTTTCTGATCACCAATACTGGATGTGCTGCAATCTTTCTCTCAGTTTTGATCAAAGTGTAACCTCTAACAAGTTTCAGAATGCTTAAAATGTACCACCACTACCTGTCTGTTAAAGCTGCCCGAAGCTGGTCGAAAATCTCAACTATATGGGAGAGGAATTGATGAACAGAAAACACAAGATCCAGGAAATCTGAAGGCTAAAGAATAAAAACCCATTATGTATTCAATGACAGAATTTGAAAGTACAGATATTGTGCACATCATCTTTGTGGTATATGGAGGAATTCTGCTTGTTATGGTCTTTGAGTACAGCTGTCAATAGCTGTATACATACACATCTGCATCTGAAAACATATGCAGAGAGGACTCTATGAGTATTCTCAAACATAGAGTTTGCATGCAGATGTACTACAAGCATGAATATCCTAGGAAACAAGCACAAATTCAAAACAATTTGGAGAGCTTTATAATACCTGTTCTGCATCTAATTTAATATTTATTTTAAATTAGCCATTTCTGTAATATGTATATAATATTACATGATGAGGGTAATTTTGTAGTAAGAAGCATTAATTCACGCCATGAAAATAATTTACAATGATTTTACCATCAGTAATTTGTACTGAACCATTTATAAATAAGAAAAAAAGCCAACTCTTTAGGAAGGTAATAACAATGGTAAATTGGAAGCTTCTGCAAACGTGCTGAAATAAATGTATGGTTTATCATAAGACTTAGTGAGTAAATAATTCAAAACTATACAAAAGGTTCAATTGTAGATATAAAAGATAAACACGTTATCCCTAAATTTGTGAGGTAATTTATCCTTAGCTATTGACTTAAAAAGAGGTTTCATCCAGAAAAGTAGCTTTAAATTTGAGAGACACTTTTTTCTTCTCTTGCACTATTAAGTTGATTACAATTCACAGAATAGTAAATGAAAAATTTAATTGTTAGCAAAATTAAATAAACACTTCACCAGAACTAAAATCTGATAAGAAGAATTGTAAAAGAAGATGACATATGTGTGCTATACCTAACACAATTCAGTTTTTGCATTTGGCCAGACTCAAAGATGGTTTGCTGTGAATAAGTTATACAAAACAGCTTAGAATAAATTATTTCATTTATTACATATGTGAAACTGAAGTAACTAAAGGCAGTGGTAAACAATATATCGAAGCAATGCTTGTATCAGAACTGTTAACATTTTAGTAGTTATAAATGAATTAGTCTGAAAAAATTTGTAATGCACTGCAATTGTACTCATGATAATACATTTATCTAGCAACACTCTTATGCTACCAAACAGTGCATTTCCATAACTGCTTATTATTCAGCATTATTGGAAATCTGCAATAAATTATTGATGGTATATTTTAGAGAACAAAACAGCAAACAGAAAGCAAGTAGATTGAAAACTTGGGTGGAGTTTTAAGAAAGATCTGCAGCACTAAAGGACTCTGCACTCAGATTGCTGTTACTGTATATTGATCAACAACGGAAAAAGAAGGTAAAGTGGAGAATTCACGTTTGTGTTCTGATTGCTTCAGCACCGTGCCCAGAGTTTATGCAAGTGATATTAAATGCTCAGATTACTGAAACTGTCTCTCTGATGTTGTCAATGCTTATTAGCAAGATACCACATTCAGTAACACCACACAAAAATAGAATCAACTGGTCCACTAAAAGCCAGTAAACACCATAGGTGTGTGCTCTGCAAGAGACATTTGAGTTTAACATACAAGGTAGGGGACAGCTTGTCAGAAAAATTGCATTCTTTCACGAAAAGTACATCACACAGGTTACACATCCTTGGACAGGGTAAAACTATTCTTTTAAGCTCAGTGACGCATATTAGTTACTTTGTTATATGAAACAGAAGTTAAAAGCAGAAATTTGATAACATAGCCACATCCCAGTAAACGGATGTAACTGTAAATTTTATATTAAAACACAGAAAAATTACTAAGGCTTTTGTCTCTCACCTAACCACATGTGTCAATCCTTACATTTGAAGGGTTTCACCTGTTACTTTAGCAAGAGACACAGCCAGGCTTTTGGAGTTATTTTAAAATGGTGCAAATGAATCATATTATTGTTACGACTTCCATTTACTTTCCTACCTTAGCATCCTTGGGCTTAACCACTTTCATGAAGGCGCCTCTTACCAAGGCTTCCTCTCTCTCCCTCCTGGTTACTTTCCGAGTATCAAGAAATTTCAGGTTCGTCAATTTATGCAGGACAAAATATCTGAGATGTCAAAATGCACACAGTTAAAATCCAGTAATAAAAAAAGACATACAGACTAAATGACTAAAATTAACAGCAATAAACAACAGCCTTTGTTTTCTCTCTCTGTTCACCTTTTCCATGCAATATATCTTAAGTAAAAAGTTATAATACTTACTTTACTCTCTCAAATGAAGCTTGTTGTAAACTGCCCCAAAAAATTTAATACTGGGTGGATCAAGCACAGTTATCACCATGGACGTGTATGCTCTCTATAGACTTTGGTGAGGTATAAAGAATATCAAGAAATAGGAAATTGTTTTGAACTGCCTGTTTGGGAAAAGGAATTTTGAGTGATATGAAAGATTCCATCTCACATTGCAGGGGAAAATCAATCTGAGAAATGGGAAACTGCCTGCTATCTTCTCTGAAAGAGTTCTTAGAAAACATTCTTTTTCAGATTTTTTTTATATATTCCTAAAAACTATATATATATTCCTATTTTTATATATTCCTAAAAACACAACAATCATCAACAGTAGAGACACGTGAACAGCAAATCAGGGAGGGGTATAATTTGTCTTCTACCATACATACTAAGCCACCATCCTTTGCCTTGAAAGGACTGTATTTCAGTGTTCAAAACTCTTAACATTAAAAGAAAGAATTTGTAAAGAAAAAGCATGGAGCGTTATTCTGGGTCTCTTCGTTCCAGGCCTACATTTTGACAAAGTCATAATTTGGAAGGAGGATTCCAATTTGGTCCTGCCAAGGTGTCCTTATGGTATATAGATCCCAGCTCAGGATTAAGTGCAGAAGCACAGAGGGAGAGACTATTTATAGGAAACATATTTTAAGAATTCAAAGTTCTTATTAGGATTCATCAGTACTATATTCTATTTATCATTTTTACTCAAAAGACAGCAGCTTTTTAGCTTCAGAGAAATACTATTGGCTCCTCACTTGCAGAGGGAGAGAACATGCCAGATCAAACACAAAGTAAGGCACAACCATGGTAAATCCAAATATCTAACCACCTCAAGTACATGTAATTTGCATTTAGTCAACCAAATGTGAAGCAAACACTGCAAAGTGAGGGAAGTGTCAGACTTTTCCTGGCAGGGGATAGAAAGGTGATTGATAATGTTCCCCATGCTTAGCTGTTTTCATAAAACTCCAGTCAGTCAGAGAGCTCCTAATCATACCAATCCCTTCTGGCAATGGGAGGAAGAAATCAAAGTAGTACAAAACTGCATAACATTTTGAAAGAGAATAACACACCAAAAAAATTGTTTTAAAAGGTAAAAGTTTATCTCATAATACTGTTGTCAAGAACAGATAAACGTGAAAAAGACTGTAACGCTCCCCCTTCTAAAATCAAGCAAAATTTAACGGTGCAAATAAACCTTTCCATCAAGTACACCATTCCTCTGAGGCAACAGCTTCATAAATTGTTAACAAGTGAACTGAAAATGCTCAGTTCTTAAATGTGAATCCTCAATCTATGGCTTTCAATTATATTAGCAGAAGAAAAAGAGAGTCACTTTACTAAACAGAACATCTCCTAAGACCATTTTTTAAACAACAGTTACAGCTCTGAGACAGACACGTTCTCAGACTCATTCCAGTTTTCCTGGCTGCCCTTCCAGTCCTCCCTGGCATTTTGCTGGCCCTTATCTTTCAGTGGAGGAGAACCTATCCATCTTGCATTACTGGCAGAAAAGCTCTGATGACAACAGATTCTTTCAAATGAAGACATGCACAGAAAGAAACAATATGTCAAGAGTGAAGAAGAGTGAAGCTAAAAATGAGTAAAGACACCCACTAAGTGTAGGGTGAGAAAAGATGAATATTCAGGTGAAGAAAACATCGGTATTAGAAAATCAGCAAATGTTTAATGATGGAATGAAATATGCCATTGAAAAGCAGGCTGCAACAAAAATGACAACAGATTAAGACAGCACTGTCATCTATGCTGACTTTGGATCACAGCCCTAATGTCAGTCTCTCAATCATTTCAAAAAAGCTTAAAATTATAATAGCATTCCTTGATACAAATGTATTTTTGTATTTTTAAGCTATACTGATTGCATTTCAAAAAACAGAATTAGCACTAGTACTTGTCAATTCCAGAAACAAAACCGAAAAATCCTACCCACACAAACTAAACAGCAAACTACACAAGTCACAGGTTTGGGGTTGATTTTTTTTTAAACTTGCACTTCTTAAGGAAGCAAAGGTTATCCTACTAGTAGAAGGAAGGTACATTAGTAATTAATCATTTTAAAAGGTGATTAAAAATACAATCCCATTTATTCATATTCCTTTTACTAAATATGGAATAAGAAGTTTCTATGTGATTTGAAAATAATATGATACATTTTTATTAAAAGGCTGAGGAAAAACACTGAGCTTCCCAGATATATTTTAGCTAGAAATATGAAGATGCAGTTTTAATCTAAATGTAACATAAGTTTGCCATAAAAAAATACAGGAAAGGGTTACCAAAGCCTGGGAATGAACACTCTACAATATCAATTCAACCCTTGTAAATTTAATCCAGGGTTATTTGTTGCCCAAAATCTCTTTACTGTGATGTATGACTTAGTTACTAAGGTTATCACAGTAGTATCCTAAAGTTGCATAGTACATAAAACATTTCAGTTAACAATGCAGGGAGGTTAACTCCCACAGATAACCTACTATCAGAGGGTTAGACCAGATGACATGCCTCTGTCAGCTTTCAGGAGCTATTGATGGTTCAATCAGTTTGTTTTGAAGGTAAAGTACAACAAAAGGGCACTAAACTTATTCAAACTGTCAACAGGGACTATGGAATGTTGCTTGCAGGTAAGTAATTTTGGGTGTTTTAAGACTATTATCAAACAGCAATGGCTGCAGAAAAAGACAGCTACTAATAACACAGAAAGCAGCCATCATAAAATACTTTGTGGCAGGTACTGAGACCCATAAATTTTGTGACACATTGCACCTGTTTTAGACTTATAAAACACTAGTTAAAAGAATACTGCTTAAGGAAGAAAGATTCATCTAAATTTTACATTATAAGTTTAGAAAGGTTTATTTTAGGTTAGAAGTTGGAGGGGCAGGGTCTCCCTGTCCCCTCTTTTTTTCTTAATAGTTTTGAAATTTAGCACTGCTCCATGTGTTCTGAGACTGCTGTTACCAGCTTTTAAAATCTTTGCAGTGGTGTGAAAAAAGGTTAATATCTTCAGTGATGAGGATAAAAGTGAGCTTCAGAGAAAGAAAAATAAAAATCAGGTAGACCAGAAAGGTGCTTAGAAATCATTGCCTGTAAACTGATCTTCTAATTCATAACGGATTTAAGAAATTAATTATGTAAGTAAGTAAAGTTGCACCTTCTTTTGTTCAGAATCATCTCTCCCACCTTGATTCCCAGTGCCAAGAGGCCAATGAAAATAAGCTCATAACAAATATTCATCAAACACGAAAAGGAACTCTCAGAGATGCAAAAAGACCAGAGAATATCATATTTCTTGTTATTTCCATCTTAGTTAAGTGAAAATGACAATAAAGCTTAACAACTCATTTACCGATTTAGTAAGTGCTGCATGTGATAAGCATTATTTTAAGAGTTTTTACACAGACCTGCCAAGATATTGGAAAAGAGAGACAGGCTTGAGTGGACATTTGCAAAGGAATGCAGTGAGCTTGGGATTCAGCTGCTATTGACACTGGCAGAAGCTCGATGGGGCAAAGTCTTCCTTTGAAGAAACATGCTGGCATTCAGAAAGGCACATAACAAAGACAGCTTTGAGATCAACTATTGCTATTTATTAAACAATACATGACTAACTTTTATATAAAGAAATACCATCTTTGATACTGACTCACTCTACAGCCTTAACAAATCACAGACTTGTCATCTTAACTCTGCCTTACAAAGAGGGAAACTAAGTCTTATCAGTTACCTTGCAGGTATATTCTATGTATGATTCTAGTTCTCTACTGTGTAACAATCATTACTTAAACACATAGTCCTTGGGTTATTCCCTCTTCTCCTCCCCCCCCAAAAAAAAAATCACTGAAGGTTCACACCTTATGAGACTTTCACAGGTGAAGTAAAAGAAAATGTGTGTTCCTTAAAGGATCACATGGAAGAAAAGAAAAAAATCTATTTGAAACATTTACAAGAAATTTGTCAGTCCTGATCCAAAACACAGAGGTGCAAATAACTTCCAAATCAACCATTTATTTTTGCTAAATAGATCCTGTAAAATTTCAGTCCGATCTATGTCTTTTTTCAGTAGCCATTTAGGTTCTAACATAAAAATTGCTTCAGTTTTAATGACCTTTGGTACTCTACCTCTAGCTACTATCAATCAGTTCTAGAAAAATTTCATTCTAGAGCTATGAACATCATAACTACAACAAAAAAACCCCAGTGAGTCACATAATATCATACCATCTAAGGGTCTCAATTAACTCATCACCTCCCTTTGAAAAGCAGATAAGTTGTTGAACATGGTTGGCCTTCTGAAACTACAGGCCACATTATAGGAAAATTTCAAAAGTGGCAAAAAATTACTTGGGGAATGAACTGTTTGGGTTCTTTTCTTCTTTTTCTGCTACAAGAAAAGTATAATATATTTGTATATGCTAACATTTCAGAAAAAAATAACTATTCCACTGAACCTTTAATGAAACACTATGGTAAGAACTAGATTCTGTATAGTCTTTCAGTTTGTACTTTTATTACCAAAAGCTGGAATATAAAACTGTACTATATGCATCAATATTTAAATTTTAAAAACTAAATTTATCTGGAGTGAAAAATTGAGAAATATTTGGCCAGAAGAATGCAGAAATATCTAGCTCTTCCTGTATCATAACACCAACATGCTCTTTGTTTCAGAAAGTGTTTACTTTCATTTTTCTATTTTCTGTGCTATTATATTTCCTTTCCTTGACAACCATAGAACATAAAAATAATATACTTATTTCAAACTTTGAAGGGCTGATTATGCTCTCAGTTACAT